CACGTAAGAAAGAACGAGTTAGGCCTGTTCTTGGTGTTCAAGAAACGCCATATCCAAGACGATGCAGGACTGGCCGGCCTCTTGTTTCAAAAGGTGATTGATCTCTTTATAACTGATCACTCTACGTACTTATGGTTCCTCTAGTGTTTGGTTCTTGACTTGGTGAAATCATTCAGATCCACCGTGTGAGAGCAGAGGAAAAGAGAAGGAAGAGTTTTATGTTCCAAGAGACGAAGTTTTCGAGGAAATCAAGAGAGACACCTTTAGAGCTGGGAGATTTAAGGCTCTCTTTCACAATCTTGTGCCATCTATTGCAGCAGCATTGTCCAACTTAGACATTCCCTTCACATGCTTCTCTGATATCGACAATTTATATAAGTCCAACATTGTCTTGGGACATACCGAGACTAAAGACACAGGCTTTGGCGGCTATATTGGCGGTTTCATGAATGGGATCCTCAACGTTACAGAGACACTGCTCAAATATGACACTCCAGCCGTTATAAAATGTAATAATTTTGTCTTAAGATATTGTCACACTCATATATCCTTTTCTTGAAATATATATACATAATTGATTCCTCTGTTTTTTTTTCAGGGGACAGGTTTGCGTGGTTGCGTGACAATGAATTTGGACGTCAAGCTCTTGCTGGTGTCAACCCTGTGAACATTGAGCTATTGAAGGTATGTTTCATTACCATTTGAATCATGAATCTTTCATTAAGAGTTTCTGAAACTCGTTGTAATGTTTTAACAGGAGCTACCTATTCGAAGCAAGCTTGATCCAGCTCTATATGGACCTCAAGAATCTGCTCTCACAGAAGAAGTGATAGCTCGAGAAGTTGAACACTATGGAACGACTATAGAAAAGGTTATCTAATGTGACAATTGTACATTTTTTCTCTTATAGATACATTCTTCTCATCTTGTTGATCTCGACTAATGCAGGCGCTTGAAGAGAAGAGATTGTTTCTAGTGGATTACCATGACATGCTCTTACCATTTGTAGAGAAGATAAACTCCATCAAAGAAGATCCAAGAAAGACATATGCTTCCAGAACAATCTTCTTTTATTCAAAGAATGGAGCCATGAGGCCATTGGCCATAGAGCTCTCTCTGCCTCCCTCAGCAGAATGCGAGAACAAGTTTGTTTATACTCACGGGCATGACGCTACTACTCATTGGATTTGGAAGCTAGCCAAAGCTCATGTCTGCTCAAATGATGCTGGTGTTCACCAACTCGTGAACCACTGGTATATTAAGTTACTTTTAGCTTTACTTGTAATCTCTATTGATGTATGTATTCAACAGTACATAATTATGTTTTGTTTACAACTCTCTTAGGCTAAGGACTCATGCTTCCATGGAGCCTTACATCATTGCTACTAACAGACAGTTGAGTACAATGCATCCAGTTTACAAGCTGCTTCACCCTCACATGCGCTACACGTTAGAAATCAATGCGCGTGCGCGTAAAAGCTTAATCAACGGAGGAGGAATCATCGAAAGTTGCTTCACTCCCGGCAAATACGCAATGGAACTTAGCTCTGCAGCGTACAAGAGTATGTGGCGGTTTGACATGGAAGGACTCCCTGCTGATCTTGTTCGGAGGTTAAAGCTCTTTGCTTTGCTTTATAACAAACTACTCTGTCTTTTTTCTTTGCTAATGCGGGCTGACACCATTTATACAGGGGAATGGCAGAGGAGGATTCATCAGCAGAGTGTGGCGTGAAGCTTGTGATCGAAGATTATCCATATGCAGCAGACGGTCTTCTGATATGGAAGGCCATCAAGGACCTAGTGGAGTCCTATGTGAAACACTTCTATTCTGATTCCAAATCCATCACCTCTGACTTGGAGCTCCAAGCTTGGTGGGATGAGATCAAGAACAAAGGTCACTACGACAAGAAAGACGAGCCATGGTGGCCCAAACTCAACACAACACAAGACTTGTCCCAAATCCTAACCAACATGATATGGATCGCTTCGGGTCAACACGCTGCCATTAACTTCGGACAGTACCCGTTCGGAGGATACGTCCCAAACCGGCCTACATTGTTGAGGAAACTTATACCACACGAAACTGATCCAGACTACGAAATGTTCATGCGAAACCCTCAATATAGCTTCCTAAGCTCTCTACCGACACAGCTCCAAGCAACCAAAGTGATGGCTGTCCAAGAAACGCTCTCGACACATTCCGCGGACGAAGAGTACTTGATCGAGCTGGGAGAAGTGCAGAGACATTGGTTCCAAGATGAAGAAGTGGTCAAGTATTTTAACAAGTTCTCCGAAGAACTAGTGGAGATAGAGAAGACGATCAACAAGAGAAACAAGGATAAGAAACTCAAGAACAGAACAGGTGCTGGGATGCCTCCTTATGAACTACTTCTCCCTACTTCACCACATGGAGTCACTGGCCGTGGTATTCCCAATAGCATATCCATTTAGATGTATATATCATATATATATTCACAACAGATTTATATCATTATCATGTCTTATATGGTGGCAGAGTTTAATATAAGGAAAATTACTTTTTTCCCAAGGTATCATGATGATAATATATCCAATAAGGTTTAATAATATCTTATTACGACTCACTCACTAAGGTTAGTCCCAATACCTATCATTTGAAACATGAGTGTTAGCCAGGATCACCATTTTCATGGGAACCTAACTAAGCTAATTTGCTAACTATGGTCTATGTATGTTTCTAATTGTCATTTTGTGCGGTCCTTCTGATGGAATAGCAACTTTCCACATTTGTCTTTCATGTGTAATAGTGTAAATGTGTAATTTATAAATTATATATATATATATATATTACACAAATATCGTATTATATAAAGTTAAGTTTTGAAAAAAACACAAGTTTTTCTTATAAAAAAAAACTAATATCTTTTAAAATTGAAATGAAGAAAAAACCATTTAAAACTGTATATTGGTTGTATTTTATGAAATATTTATTATGATATGATGCAATCCGGTTTAGTCTGGTTATTTGTATTTGGTTCAATGTTGGTTCAATGTTGTAATATAGGCTTAGTATATAAGCTATACCAGATCATTAGACCAACATTATTGGGAGATTCTTAATTAGGGTATCTTAGTTTAAATTTAGTATTAATTTTGAAAAAGTGAAGTTTAAGAGTTTTAGTTTAGTTTTGAGTTTTGATATGTGTTTATTGGTAGGATCTTAAATTGGGTATCTTAGGAAAAAAATATTAATATTTTTTTTTAAAAAATATTTAATTTGTAATTTAAGAAAATCTTATAATAATTGTAAATTTAAAATGTGAAAACATACATAAGATAGAAACAATGATACAATAATTTTAAACTTGATTGGGGGAAAATTTATTCCAAAGATGCTCGACCAAATCGTTCTTCAATTGTTCATGCATATTTTGATCTCGAAGTCGAGTTCTAGCGGTCATCATATCGACGACATTTGAAGGCATATCTGTTTCATACGAGAAATCCACTCTTGTACTTCCTTCAGTTTCTGCTTGTTGGAATTCAGTGACATCGAACTGAGTATACATATCTCGTTCATCTTCTACTATCATATTGTGAAGTATTATGCATGCCCGCATAATATTTCCTATTCTTTCCTTATCCCAAATAAGAGCCGGATTTTTGACAATGGCAAATCGAGCTTGTAAAACTCCAAAAGCCCGCTCAACATCTTTACGGCAAGCTTCTTGTCGTTCAGCAAATAAAGAAGCTTTATCACCTTGTGGAAGTGGGATCGATTGGATAAATGTAGCCCATCTTGGATAAATTCCATCTGTCAGATAGTAACCCAAACTATACTGGGTTCCGTTGATTACATACTTGCATTTTGGTGCTCGTCCTTGTATGATATCATCAAAAACAGGAGATCGATCTAGAATATTGATATCATTTAAAGTACCTGGAGGTCCAAAAAATGCGTGCCATATCCAAAGATCTTGCGAAGCTACAGCCTCTAAAACGATCGTTGGTTTTCCCGAGGCTCGTGTATATTGACCTTTCCAAGCGGTTGGGCAATTCTTCCACTCCCAATGCATACAATCGATGCTTCCCATCATCCCGGGAAATCCTCTTATCTCTCCAATAATGAGGAGCCTTTGAAGATCTGCACGGGTTGGTTTTCTTAAGTACTCATCTCCAAAGCAAAAAATAATACCGTCAACAAAATGTTGCATGCATTTCATGGAAGTGGTTTCACCAATCCGGAGATATTCGTCAACCGCATCAGCCGCATAACCATATGCAAGCATGCGAATTGCCGCTGTACACTTCTGTAATGGAGAGAATCCTAACCTTCCGGTCGCATCCCGTTTTTGTGGAAAGAAAGGAATTTCATTGTTTAGTCGATCCACGATACGCAAGAATAATTCCTTATTCATTCTAAAACGACGTCGGAATAAATTAGGCGGGAAGGTTGCATTATCTCCAAAATAATCGTTCCATAACCTTATGTGACCTTCTTCACGATGTCTTTCGATATGAACTCTTTTTTTTCTTGGTTTTCTGGGTCGTTGATCCTCCTCCAAAGAATTATCAAATTCTTCTTGAATTTGGTTATCAAATTCTTCTTGAAAAAGATTATCAAATTCTTCATTCAATACTTGTGAAAATTCATCATGAGAAGATGAAGCCATTTTGTATATAAATTACAAAATGAAAAGAATAATTTTGTGGTTTGGTAGATTTTTGGAGATTGAGGTTTTTCTTGGTTTGGTTTGAGATTGTTGTGTTGAGGTACGAAGGAGAGTGGGTTGGTAATGGTTTAGTTTTGGTACGAAGGAGAGTGGGTTGGTAATGGTGTGAAGGAGAGTGGGTTGGTAATGGTTTAGTTTTCTGGTTTGAGGTTTGGTTTTGTGAACGATTGTGAAGAGAGTTGGTTGGTAATGGTTTAGTTTTGTGGTTTGAGGTTTGGTTTTGTGAAGGAGACTTGAGAGTAAAGGTTGTGATCGATTTGTAAAAACTAAAAATGACACAAAAGGAAGTGAATATAATGTTTGTGAAATACAAAGTGAATGAAATACAATTGTTGTCAAAGAGAAAGCGAATGCAATACAAAGAGATATTGAATGCGATGAGAAGTTCAAATGACTTGACAAATTTATATACAAACTTCAGACTTCTCTGTTGTGTCCGTGAAGAGAGTTGGTTGGTAATGATGAAACTGTGCCATGTATGTCCGTGAACGGGTGAAGTTTTCACTCTCCCCACCAACTTCAGACTTCTTTGTTTTCTTCTTCTTTGCCATAGTCACGTGAAGCTACAAAACAGAAAAGAGTGTCAATAAAGGAACTGAAATATGACCAATGTATCACACAAACATTGATTGATCATTGAATAAAGAAGCTTGTCCCTGACCACAATCATTCACGTGAACCATACTTTGATTAAAGAACAGACAATGATCATAACACAGACACTACCAAACTGAAATGATCATAACACAGACACTACCAAACTGAAACAAACATAACACAGACACTACTAATACTGATACTAACATAACACATACACTACCAAACTGAAACTAACATAACACAGACACTACCAAACTGCAACTAACATTAGACAACATTGTTCTCCACCAGAGATTCAAAAGAAACACAGACTAATTAGCTTTGTTTTAAGGTCTTCCTCTATCTCAGATAGAGGACCGGATTTAGCTAAAATAGTGTCTAGCAATTTCTTGTTTGAGATTTTATCATTGAACTCATGCTCTTGTTGCTTCAATGCAAAATCCTTTTCCTTTAGCTCCCACATCGTCTTCATCCTTTCCAATCTCTCCAAACCTCCTTCAGCAGTCACTGAACTAGTGACACTCTTCTTGGCACTAGCCTTGGCTGCAGCCTTGGCAGCCTTAACTCCTTGTGGTCTGGCTTGAGGAGCTTGTGATTCTCCTTGAGTTTGAGACTCTCCTTGAGCTTGAGAGTCTCCACCATCTTCAGAACATGGCATAGAGGATGAATCTAGCTTCCTTCTTTTGTTCTTCTCGTCTCCTTTAGAAGCTACCACTGAACACCACTTCTGATCGTATCTGAGTTCTCTCCATGCATGCTCCATGGTGAATTTTTTCTTGTAGTCACCCTCATAGATGAGGTGAGCTTTCTTTATCAAATCATCATCATTCATCCCACTACTATTCATACTTGTTGCAGCTTGGTAAGATCCTACGAATTTGGAAACTGACTCATTTATCTTGCACCACCTTTGTTTGAAATGATCAGCCTCTCTCTGCTTCAGACCAGCCACCTTGGGACTTGCAGCCACATAAGCTGCAATCCTCTTCCAGAAGGCTGCTCCCCTTTGTTCATTTCCAACAATGGCGTCCTTGCTGGTGTTGAGCCATGCCGAGATTAAAACTATGTCTTCTTTGCTTGTCCAAGCAATCCTCTTTCTTGGTGCAGCCTTAGCAGCCAGGTTTTGAGCTTGAGCCGTTGGCTGAGACCATTCACTGGTGAAGACAACTTCTTCACTTTCACCAAGTCTAATACTTGGTGATGGAGAGTCAAAAAAAGGTGGCGCCTGAGGGTTATGGGATTCATTTTGACTAGTTAGAAGATCCATGAAGAAGAGATTGAAAAGGTTTTAAAGCTTGTTCTTTTACTGTCAAAGAGAAACAGATAGATTTAGGTGAAATGGTTTGTGTTAAGTGTAAACTATATACAGTTAGAGTTAGGTTAATGATTTACTGTTTTGTTACAGTTGTGGAGGTCATTAAAGTGTGCATTTATCACAAACAACAAGTACTACCCTATATGAAACAACAAGTACTTGCCTATACTATACAACTGTATTAAAGTGTGCATTTATCACATACCTTCTATTGCCGATTTGTGCTCCCAAGCCTCTGATTTCTAACGCATGAACTTGAGCAAGATTCGATTGGAAACTTCTACCCGATCCCAATTCTTCTTCGTCAACGAGTTAAGAAACCCAACCCGCCGCACACCAAACCAATCTCTGGAGTTGATCAGCTACCGAGAACGACGTCCGGAGTTGATTCACTCCGGCAGATTCAACCGGAATGAGACGATCGGTTGAATCGTCGCCTTTCGCTTCTTCGGTCGCGAACGAGAGAGAGAGAGAGAGAGAGAGAGAGAGAGAGAGAGAGAGAGAGAGAGAGAGAGAAGGAAAGAAAGAAGAAAATAGAAAAATGGATTTTTTTTTTTTATATAATTATTCTCATACCCAGTAAAAAGACGCCACGTGGACGCTTCTTACAGATTAAAATCGATCTTATGCAAGATCGATTCTTCTGCTTATACACCTTCTTTTCATTTAATTTAATCATTAATACTCTAAGATCTAACCATAATTATGGTTAGATGTTGCCGATAATCTTGCTCTAATGATCATATTAGATTGTAGCAACCACTTTTTACGCTTTTGAGCTGAATAAGAAGATGGTGTTTTCTTCTCCGATTTCATCTTTAATCTCCGATTCACCAGAGTTCAAAATGTATAAGAGCATTCTGATTAAGCTTCCGTGGTTATTTTGTAATAATATTTTTGTTTATTTGTGTAATTTGTTAAGTGTAATTCGTAATAAGAAAAGTATATTGAAATTGTCAAATAATTGTTTATTTTATTGGGAGGAAAAAATTGTTAATTAGAATTCACCTATGAGAGAACATTGAAGTTGTTGGATCTTCTACACCCAGTTTGGTTTCCAATCTAAAATCTCATTATGACCTCACTTCGGTGAGTTTGTGGTTGTGGAGCATGTTCCTGTTCGGGACCCTTTTACATAGCTATGAAAACATTAAATGGTTTAGTAGATTTGTTACTCTTATGTTTTCGTCTGATAATAAGAAGTTTTATTTATTTTTGTTTTTGGTTATTTCGTTTTACATCAGAATTTTTTTGTCTGTTCATCTTTCCGAAAATTTTGTTGTTCTTGTTTTTCATTTCATTTAATTTGGTTGTTAAAATTGTTCATATTTTGTCCAAATATGCTTGTATGTGTTTAGAACCATTTCATTTCATGTGCACTTGATATGTTTATTCTTTGTAGGAAATTATTTTGTAGTGTTCTCTCTATTTTGGGGTTCATTAATATTGTCAAAGGCTTATGCCATTATCAAAATTTTAGATACGTTGTTGCTTATGTTTTTTGGATCCTCAATATTTTTTTGTTATGCATTCAACTAACCTTATGTTTTTTTTCTGTTTGATTGACCAAATAATATATAGTTTAATTATGAAATCATGTAGCTAGTTGATTTTGATATATGCGCTTCATGTTCCTCGTAGGCTCGTATATAGTACACAAATTATTGAATAATTTATACAAAAGTTATTTTAAAATACTAAATTTCTTTTATTTGTATGACGTGAGAATTTGTATTAGGTAAGAGATGGGATCTGTGGGATAAATTTTTTATATTATCATAATATCATTGATCCTATCACACGATTAATAAACAAATATCCACAAGATACTCGTTTTATTGCCACTAAACATTACTAATTTTTACATAAGGATCTTCTTCTTTTATTTGCTTTTGTTTATGAGATTGCATTTATTTTCTTTCAAAAAATTTGAATGAATTTCTGACAAAAGCTATATTTTCTACGTTTTTTTTGTCAATCCAAATCAAATCAAAAAAATTTGTTTTTCTTTTTTATTTTTAATTTCTTTGTCAATCCAAACCAAATCATAAATTTATAAAATAAAAATCGTACAATGATAAAGAAATGAATTAAACGTATATATCAATCAAAGTATTAATTAGGCTTTCCCACGTCTTTAAATTTCACACCCTCCCAATATATATAATAATCAGGTGTATCAAGTCTCACTGTATATCATATCATCCTCAACCGTTGAACTTGTTGACTCTAAACCCGATTTTACGCTAATCTAACGGCTTAAAACACATCTCAGTTTTTTTATTAAATTGTTCCCCTTCGAACCAAACCACCGCTAAATTTCAATCCCTCGGATTCTGGAAACAATATATTATTTTTTTCAATTTTCAGATTAATCGGAAAATTATGAATTTACAACCGTCGATCTAAAAGACTCGTGAGGGAGAGAGAGATCACACGAGAGTCTTTTGATTCTGATTCTTGTAGATGGCGATTTCAAATGAGATCGAAACCGCCATTGACGAGCTTCCTTATTCTTTCTTCCTCCCCTTTCCCGTTGTTGTTCAAATCTCCAAACGTATCATCATCAAAGTCTGATGGAGCAACAACCATCACCGGCCGTTGAAACGCCGTTGTTGCATCAGGATCAAACTCCGCCGGAGATCGACGCCGCCGGAGGAGGAGGAGGAGAGGGTGTTGACGACGACCTCGACCGAACGCTGGAATGGTTAGAGACGTTTCTAACGCTTCTTGGGTTTAACCAGTCGTCTCCTCGAAGCCTTGTTTTGTCTTGGATCGTGTTTTTGGCTATTGGGTTGGTGCTTCCGGTTACAGTGTTGGAGCTAGGGCATTGTTTAGGGTGTGAGAGGTATCAGTACAAGAGTTTCGAGCTCAACATTGTGGTTTCTCAGGCGTTGTTGGCTGGTGTGTCTCTGCTTTGCGTTTCTCATAATTTGAGGAAACATGGGATTAGGAAGTTTTTGTTTGTTGATCAACTCAGTGGTCGTATGGGTCGGCTCAAGGCTCAATACATTAAGCAAATCTTGGTGATTCCTTCAATTTCAGATTGGACTTTGTTGATGGCATCTTCAAAGTTTGTATTTTTCTTATTGCAATCTGCAAATTTTGCTGTTTTTTCACTAAAGCAAGCATTTTTCTTGCTGTGTTGCAGAACTCTGTGAGGTTGCTTGCGTATTGGTCGCTTCCATGTTTTGCGTTGAAAGCTGTTCGTGAGATCATCCGGATGCATTATGTGCCTCATGACCAGCCGTGGCTATCTTTTGTGATTCTATTTGCTATGATCTTGTCATGGACTTATTTAAGCACTATATTTCTAGCTGCTAGTGCCATGTTTCATTTGGTCTGCAACTTGCAAGTCATTCACTTTGAAGATTATGCAAAGCAATTAGAAGGGGAGTCCGAAATCTCCCTTTTCATCTACGAGCATATGCGTTTGCGCCATTATCTTTCCAAAATAAGCCATAGGTTCCGCATCTTTCTGCTTCTACAGTTTCTTGTTGTCACAGCTAGCCAGTTTACTACACTTTTCCAGACCACTGCATATAGCGGGCGTATTACCTATATAAACGGTGGTGATTTTGCAGTAAGTCAACCTTGGCTTCTTCTTCTTGTTCACTGGTGTTATGTACTTATTTGGTGCGGTTAAACTTAGGAATATGATATGTTCAGGTTTCTGCGGTGGTCCAAGTTGTTGGAATAATACTGTGTCTGCACGCAGCAACAAAAATATCTCACAGAGCTCAAGCAATAGCATCAGTTGCTAGCCGATGGCATGCGATGATGTCTTGTTCGTCTACAGATTCAACTCAGATAAGGACTTCTCCAAGTGGAGTTCATTTGGAGGCCACCACAAATCCACCTATCTCCTTTCCGATTTCCCGTTCAGATAGTGATGTGGAATCAATGGATCACTACATGAGGATGCCTGCTCCTAACCATTTTCCTTCTTACATGTCCATGTCCTCATACCACAAAAGACAAGCTTTTGGTGAGGATTGTTTCACCCTCTTTACTTTTTTCCATTTGCTCCAAACCCGAAATGGTGATAGCTGATTAGATGATTGTTGCAGTGTTGTATTTGCAGATGAATCCAGGTGGGATAACTATATTTGGGTGGACAGTAGACAGACATTTGATAAACACAATATTCTTCATTGAGCTTTCTCTGGTTACCTTTGTACTTGGCAAGACTGTAGTTTTCGGTGGTGAATGACAAGAAAAGGTTTGGTGTATCATATACATAGCTTTTTACCCTTTGCCCCATAGTGAGATTTCTTAAACTGATAGGAGATGATACGTTGCATGAGCGTCTCTTGATTTGTTCTCTTTCTCTATAGAGAGTGTACAAAGCTATATTGACGAGGCTTATTTTGTTCTATTTCTCTTATTTCTCTTTTCTTTCATATTCTATGGGTGGCTATTGGACCATTAGTTTGTATCACAAACTGAAAATTATAGTTCTTGTTCTATCTGTCTTGCCACTAAACATTTAATAAAACCTCTGTTACACCATCTTAGTGAGTGACTTTTGGGCATTTCGAGTTTACCACAACGCACAGTCCAGACTTTGGACCAGTTCTTTTAAAGCAATTGGAGAATGCCCTTGGTCCAGTTTTTAATTAGCAATTGGAGATTGACCACATCGGAACAGTTTGTTCTGCAATTACTTGGCAATGCATATCAGATTCCTTGGTCCTCAATGAAAAGACCAGAGAGTCATGTCCAACATCACCAAAACACTCCAGTAGTATGTCAAATGATAAGATGCATGCCCAGTGCAAATCTAGGACTTTATGAAGACCTAGAGTCCCCCAGACCTTGACCCACGCGAGCTTGCAGCACCATTTCTGGTCCGATGACATGTCTCTGGGCATGAGTTATAGCTTGAATACAGATATTCCCGGCTAGAAACATAGTAAAATGTCAAAATCACTGAATGTATGCAAGAGCTTGGTTGATTTAAGAAAACTCTACACGGATCACTTGTTATCACTTCCCAGCATATGCTACTATAAAGGTTGAGACAAACAAAGTTAATTTTTACTTTCACTTTGGTACTAAAAACATAATAAATGGTTTCTAGCATGTTGCAGTTAACAACCATGAAATCAGCAAACTGCAAAGAAACTGGGGCTAAAGTTTATTTCAGAGACCTTAGGATCGCTATTCCCAATAGATAGTACCCATGATTTACATTAATTGTTGCCATGGACTCCTAAGCAATCAAAGTAGACAAAGTAATCCGCAGATAATTATTGACCATACAAACCAAAAATTATAACACTTCTAGTTACAGAGCAACCATCTTATCTCAGAGAACCATATATACGAGGTTTCAGTGGAATTCAAAAAAACTAGTTACAACTTACAGCCCTGCAAGCATGAGGACTATACATTACCTCGCAGAGATTTCATCGGCAATTGCATCAATTCTTCTTCAAGACAAGAAGAGTCTCACTCCACTTCAACACCAGTGTTTCTTGCAAGCACAATGTCAATATTATATATATAAAGAAACAGGGTAGATAAAAAGAATTGTCAGGAAAAAAGAATAGGTTTCCTTTGATAGTAGTAAACAAAAGATCACTATTCAATAATACTATGCTACATACATAAGTTTCAGTAGGAAATGAGTTTTTATTATTATGCCACACCTTACAGAACAAGCACTGTCAGAAAGCCGTAGCACTACTAACTGACCAGCCTAGCTTGTAAACACATTAAACCTGCAAGGATTCTCGGTGGCGATAGGAGGAAAATTATCTTCACAAATCACCATGGACCCTCAAAGTGAGTAAAGAAAGCATAAATGATATTCTGAGATACAAATGTTCCAACCTCCGCTTAAGCAGCAGCCCTCGCCTAAAATGTGGTATTTTCAAGGTAACTGAGAGTATCAAGGTTGTATTCCAAATGCTATCTTCACCAGGTGGGTAACACTTAGCCAAACAGACCACCAGACCCAAGTTCGGTTTGGGTTAAATCCTTTCTACGTTGCTCTTCCAAAGGATCAGGGCTCTTCACCATTCTCCTCCCACGCCTTGGCATAGAAGAAAAGGTTAGAGACAGAATTAAAGTCAACCAGTGGTCGTTTCAGTTAAGATAGATCTCAGTACCTGTCTTGGGCATGTTGAGCGGGGAAAGTAGGCATGAAATCTTTGGATTTTGGTAGAGGGACTTCACGGAACCAATCATGCTTTAGAGCTTCATCAACAGTTATTCTCTACAAAAGAAGCACCACAGATAGAAAAGTCAAGGAACAATCAAGGTACATACTGGATTAACATGCATGCAACAGATATAAAATTTATATTACCCTCTCCGGATCATACGTTAGGAGCTTATTCAGCAGGTCAAACCCAGCATCGGACAGAACTGGGGCACCAGTGAATGAAGTGGCTGGGAATTTCTTACGTAGTAGGTTATACCTAGAGAACAGGCCAGAGAAGAGAAGAACGAGATAAGAACAATGAACAGAATAAAATCCACTAATGAGCCAGATAGCCAGACCCTATCACCTAAAGCTATAATCCTTGGAACAATATTAGAGACTTTCAGCTAATTTTTACTAAGGTTATCCTTGTATAAAAACTGAAAATTACAAGGAACTATAAATACTTACTGATGCTTGACAAAGTTGACCTTGACTCCAGGCAGCTTGGAGAACCCAGGCCAAATGGACTCATTGGGAGTACCAAGTATTCTGAAAATCTGTAAATTAAAAGAAGCAGTAATTTATATAAGCTTTATGTGGTCCCAGGATGGCTGAAGTTCCAAAACAAAACCAATGTTTAAAATACCTTGTCAAGTTGATCAAACTCCGTTTTCCCATTGAACAACGGCGCCTTCGACAATAGTTCTGCCATGATACATCCCAGTGACCACATGTCAATGGCTGTAGAATATTGTTTTGCTCCCAAGAGAAGCTCAGGTGCCCTGGAAAAACAAATGCAGTCGTTGAGCTGGGTCCTGGAAAAAGTGACTATTGCTAAAACAAGACGGGAGAGTTAACACAAGGAACAAAACAAGTCAAGAAAGTTGAAGTGCAACATATTTCCTAATGTGCCATTCTAAGTGGTGTCCGAGCAAGTACTGCAATAGAAAAGGGAGAACGGTGTAGTACAGCTATACCAGAAAGGAGACGTAGCACCTGAGGTTATACTAACAATGACCAAAAAATACCGATACAATAGTAATGTAGAAACCATCAATGTCTTCATTAACTAGAATAGGGTAAAAACGCATTTTACCTGTACCAAAGCGTAACAACCAGATGAGTATACGGCTTCAGCGGGCTGCCATATTGCCGAGCCAAACCAAAGTCACATATCTTCAACTCCCCTCGATTGTTTAAAAGCAGGTTCGATGTTTTCAAATCTCGATGAAGCACCCAGTTGTCATGAAGATACTTGACGCCCTCTAAAAGTTGAAGCATTAAGCATTTAACTTCACTTTGACTGAAGCGCTGCTTCATTGTCTCCATCAATGCCTTAAGATCATGTTCCATATATTCCATCACCATAAAAATGCTATCAAGACTACTACCCACGACCACCTCTTTTACATCCACTATTGATGGATGATGAAACGAAAGAAGTATGTTAATCTCCCTAAGAGAAGTCAAAGGAAAACCTTCTCTTTCTTTTTCCATCTTCACCTTCTTCAATGCCACAATTTCACCTGTCTTCTTATCCTTTGCTCTATAAACAACACCATAGGTACCTTCATCTATCTTATTTAATCTCTCAAATTCATCAACACTTCTACAACCCTGGAGCATGTTTATACTTCTTAGTGGAGTACTGGCAGGTTCGGGTGTTTCATGCTGAACATATTCTTCATCGGAATCTGTTTCACTAAGGCTGTAACTGGAGTTTCCTCTTCTGTGTTCCTCCTCATCTATTTCCATCTTGTCACCCTTAACAGCATCCTTCTCCTCAGAATCATCTCTACTTCCCGGCAAAGAATGGTGCCCTGTTTCACCGGAATCAGATGATCTATAACCTTCCCTCACTAACTCCCCAACCTCAGGTGTTTGAGACTTAGTGCGCAATCTCCCCTGCACGGGAAATGGCTTTTTCCTCCTTTTATTTGCTCCCACTTCTTCTACTATTTCACCTTCATCAGTTGGGGAACTGTTGCCAGCTGCCCACCTAGAGGAAGATATATGCCTGATTGGCATGTTTTCCTCCTCTTCCAGGTGTCTTGCATCCCCTTGTTTGCCATGCCCAGCATTTGATGATTGGTCTACCACACACAAAGAAGACATCTCTACCGAAGGTGATAAAGCAGGCACAGGAACTGCAGATACACCAAGTTGCACGGGGTCTTGATGCATATTACGCTTTGCAGGTGAAAAATGAGAATTCCCATCACAATTGACCCTAGGTGACTGGCTTGACCTCTTAATTAGTGGTGGTAGGGGAGGAGGAGGAGTGACCTCAACAGGTTTTTCAGTTCTGCTCAAATTACTTCTTTCATTGTCATCTTTGTCCCATACTATTGGTGAAAACTTTCTTTTCTTTTCTACAGGGCTTTGAGCTGTATTCTCTACCTGCTTCACAACTCCATTATTTTTCACCAATGATTCAGACTCGTTCAAATCATCTGACCCACTCTCACTAGAGAGCTCACCTGGTTCCCTATCCACAGACCTAGCTGAAAGCCCACATCTTTTCGGACCACGATCAATCAAGACTTCCCTGCTACCTGGATTGCTCTTCGATAACCGACACCCACTATTAACCATTCCTCTCTCTTGCTGTCTAGCTCCTGACCTAATCATATCTCTATCTTGACCACTATCCCCGTGTCTTAGATTACTAGCCCATCCCTTTTCATTATCAAGAGCACCGTTCCTAACATGATCATAATCCTCATTAGAGTAAGCACTATCCCGCCTGGAAAATCTAGAATTCGATTCCTGGTCCCTCAGTTCACGGTCAGAATATCTTACATTCCTCCCAGCCGCCATAAAGTCAATTCCAAACTTAACGTCAGTGAGAAAGGGTAAAATAAACCCCAAATCCTAATTTGACGAACTCAATCTGCTTCCAGCTAACTAGCCGTGTTCAAAATCACAATCGCAGAGACTAAACCTCGAGATGTCAGAAAAAAAAACTGAAATACACACCCAACAAACAGCAACTCGTGATCAAATCGCTTCAATATTGAAGTAGAACTTGTGATCTGAACAGCGGAACCCTAGAAATCGAAATCGACGACCGAGGATTCTAAGGGAGAGAGTACGAATCGAGAAGAAAAGTCAGATTTAGAAAGTGAATTCGATTGATACAGAGTTCGCAAATTTCCGATTGACGGGTAGATATGGCTTGCCGTCGAGAAGGAACGAACGAACAATGGCGGAGAGGGGAGGAGAGAAGAGCGTCTCTCGTCGTCGAGAGCTAAAAAAGGACGTAATCGTATAAATTCTTTCCAATTTTTAGGTCTCTTACCTCGTTTTTTTGTAATTTTCGCCCTCCATTTTATATGTTTTACCAAAACGACCCCCTAAATTTTCCAATTAATAGATGTGTTTTCTTTTTTTATTATCTATAAACCTATTTTAAAAACTTCTACATAATTATTGGAACCAAAAATATATTTTTCTTGTATATAAATTTATATTGATCAATACAATTATAAACTAAAATATGTTATGTTAATATTTAGTAGGTCCGGACAAAATAAATGAAACTGAATAGTCAAATCGAAATCGATCTTGAATCAAATTTGGAGTAGACAAAATATAAACAGGTCATCGATTCCTATATATGAAAATCAGTCCCTAACTAAGAACTGAATGGTATATGGAGTACTTGTAGTATAATTATATATAAAATATTGATTCGTATTAAGATTTAATATAACATAATTACCAAAATTACAATTATAAACCTGAAAAATAATAAATATGTATAAACCAAAATAACCAAAGCATCCAAAAGGTTTTAATTATATTGGTCAAAATTTAATTATTTAAGTTTTTCCAAGATTTTAGGTATCCATAACCCAACCAAAACTATTTCAACCGAAACTACTTTTGGATATCTAGAAAATAAATTTTGACTATATATTTTGGCTCAACGTCTATTTAAACGTTAAAAGAAAAACATCTAGGTTCTTTGCTATTAATATTATACTAAAAATATCATATACACAACTAATTTCATGTGGTGTAGACATTTATAATATCAATCAATATATATATATATATGAAATTAAAACTATGAAATCTTAAAATACCTAGATGGAAAAATTAATTAATATCTAAATGTCAAAACTAAAACATCAAACTATGATAAGTTTGAATTAGACCCCCCAAAAAAACCATTTGAAGATATAAAATTTCAGGATTTACAACAACTATGTAAAATTGATCTAAACACAATGAACTAATACTACTTTTTAATCAAATTATTATGTATGAACTCAACTTAAATATTACATCCAATCAATTCAATTTATATTTTGAATACTACATAAAAAAAAAACTAAAAAAAAATGTTACTAATTGATTAACGATTGTGTATAATCGTCTAAGACCAATTAGGAGTATCTAAAGCTACCTAGAATGACTAATTTCAACACCTGAAAATGATTGCCACGGTTTATTGTGATCACTATTCACATCACATTAGGGGACCGCATAGAACAACATGACTGGTCACAATCTTACCAATCTAATCATTTCTTCTTCTCCTACATCTATTGTGTTTATGTTTTATGACTAGCCTTGTCGAATTATATGAGTCAACTTCCATCTTAAACTTCTATCTTTTCTTGAAAATATAACTATCAAAGTCATCAGAATCGCTATCAAAGAGTATTAAACTTTACTTTCCCAATCATATATCTTATTATTTTACCTATCATTGCTTAGCTGAAAAGCTAACTTTTGATTTTACCCGTAATATGGGTTCCCAATGTGTTTATGTTTCTACAAAATAGAAAGCTAGTGGCCTAGTATTCATATGACTCGTGGGGACCTTGTCTAGCTAACTCCAAGAGTCCCTGGCTCGATATCTCAAACTCATTCATGCCTTCATAAGTCATATCATCATCTCTCCTTTTTCTTGTCTCTCTTCTATCTACTTCCCCCAAGCAACACCATTGAACTTTTTGTTTTGCATTAGTTATAGAATCACTAAATCCATATGATTACATTTCTAAAGACAATAATGTGAATACACAAGACTATTGACACCAACAGCGACAGCGAGAAGGAAGCTTAAAGGAGAAAGAGAAAGAAGAAGGCAAATGACCACTTCTCCTTATATAATCAGCCTTCTCTGAAGTCCTCACCGCCTTTTCGTTCAGCTTCGCCTCCGCGTTTGCCCTCCTCTCTTCCGCTATCCTTTTCGTCGCGGCCAGCTTGTTTGCTAGCTTCTCCTCTGCTCTTGCTTTCATTCTCTCTGCCTTCACCTACACAAAACATTCACACATTGTTCACGAAACCTTTTCAATCCTAAAACATATATCTCTCAAATTGGTTGATATGCGTTTTCTTTTACTTCTACTTTTAGAGATATCGAGAAATCGAAAATTTAAAGCTGAACCAAAACTCGGATTAAGTAATGCTAATCCCTAAATTACACACAACATTATACCTCCATTTTCTTCATCTCCATCTCGGCCTTTCTCTTCTCATGATTCTCCCAAGCTTGAATCTTCACCTCCTCTCTCTTATACCTAATTAATTCCAAAACAAAGTACCAAAAAAATTCCTATATCAAACACTAATCACATTTACTTTAGCCAATCAATAAAACTAATTAATGTTAATCACCTTGCCATATACTTAGCCCGTTCGGCTTCATCCCAAGCCATGGCTCGAGCGTCCATAGCACTCATCGCCTTCTTACTCTCCCCAAAGCCATTACTCATCTCATTATTACTATTCTCTACCCTCCTAACCTCCATCATCACAGTCTCCGTCACCGTCCCCACCGCCTCGCCACGTTGCGAACCCCTCACCGGCGAAGTCACAGGACTCCTCCCAACCGGCGTAGTGGCTCGAACCGGGGTAGCTGTTCTAGAAGGCTCTTGACTCCCAATAGGAGTCATCTCAGTCCCCATATCCCTCACACAAACCGATCTAATCACAGCCGTCGGATTAATACTAGTCTCTTTCCTCCAAACAGATTCACCACAGTCAACGTTCTTAGTCTCAACCTCTGGCCTCCCCGCCGCGGCTTCTTCATCATCATACTCAACATACTGATCTTCACCATCACGTTCTCTTTGTGAAGCCGAAGCTATAAGTCTAAGATCATCAGCGTTAGAGTTTCTCGGCTTATTACTCCTAGAATGATGATGACTACTCTTCTCCCCACCACCACCACCGCCACGAGCAAGGCCTACACCAGAAAGCCATTTCTGAGCATCGTCCCATTTCGACGGTGCAGGCTTCCCCATAGCAGAGCGGTGATGGTTAGGTGTACGGTTAGAACCTTTCTGAAACTCAAAACCATTGGATATCTCAGGAGTCGATGGTCCAATCCATCCTTTGTTATCTTCTACACCAGATCTCATTTTCTTACAGAACACAGAGATATATATGTTTTCTAACTTCTTACAAAAGCTTTTTAGTGGATATAGAGATAGAGAGAGGACTTAGACGAAGAGGATAATAATAATATCAAAGTGAGGGAAGGGGGGAGAAAGATGTGGCGAAGGAATCAAAGAGTCGTCACTCTCATAGAACCCACTTGATGATGAAGTGAGAGATTCATAAGTAGAGAGACATTAATACCAGATGGGCTGTTTCGTGTATGTGTAGTAGAGACGAATATGATAGTCTTTAATTAAGTTTTTTTAACTCTGTTTTCTTCTGTATAAATGGCATAACATCATGTATAGACTATACACCCACTATTTTATTAATTAGTAGGGTTTTATAGTAATGCTCAGATCTGGTTTGTGATTCCTTAATAATAATAATACTGTAAAAAGAAGAAAAGTGATTAATCATGTGTTCGTGGGGAGAGGTGATTAAGTAGTACTCGTAATCACCATATTTATAAATTAAGAGTGTATAAATGATGATAATGCAAAATGCAATGGGAACAATCACAAACAATTAGGAGGAATCTTGGGAGATGAGTTTCGGAAAAAGTTAATTATGTAGTTCCCAAGAGTCAGTGTGGTTTGGTGTATTTACCTTTCTTTTTTTAAGATTCTACGAGTAACAACAGTTGTACTTTTTAACGGTAACTTTAGATTTTAGATTTTTCCTTTTTTTTTACAGACGAAGGTGGTTTTTTTTTTTGGTGAGTGTGTGTAGGGGGATTAGGACACGTGTACGGTGATAGATGAAGGTGGTTTTTTTGGTGAGTGTGTGTTAGGGGGATTAGGACACGTGTACGGTTAGAGATATCGGGAGGAGCGGTGAGAGATGGGTTTTTGTCGGTCCGGGTTAGGGGAAAAAGCGGGTCCGGGTTTGACTGACAAAGTCACGTGGTCTTTGACAGGTCCCCTTATGCTCTTTTGGTTTCTTATGGATTTTTCATTATTTTAGTTTTGTGTTATGGTGTGTATATGTTACTCGTCTTTTAACTCACATTTTCTATTTTTGATCAGCTTTCTAATGTGACACACAAAAAACGAATGTGATAAGCTTTCTGATTAAAAGAATAAAAGTGTTTTGCATTGTGATTTTAGGATTCATTCAGGACGGAGCTTTAAATAAAAGGCTGGGCTGGACCGAAAAACCCTATTTAACATCATAAAAATATGTTCGACCCATTGTTGACATACTCATCAGAAACACTGTTTTTCTTGGGATATAGAGTCCCTTTGTACTTAAGAACGAATCAATTTGTGGCTAAATGAAAATCAAAGATAACTTGTGGGTTAAATGAATCTATGCATGAATCTCTTATCTCCATCACAACAGGTACTTAATTAGCTCACATGACCTGCTTGTTTTTATAAAGTATGTCTCATTTTAGGAGCTTATATCGACATATCAATATTTATGTCCTCCTTACACCATCCATTAGAGGAATCATATCAGCTTTAGCTTGGGCCATCTTCAAAGTGGCAGAATAAGCAAAAAGTTAAATGCATATGTTGTGTTTTAATGAGCCAAAATAAACAGAGGGAACCAGCATAAGCTGTGTTTTTCACAGAGTTAAAGCTTCAAACTCTTTTCTTTTACCACTTTGTAATGAAGTTTCATGTTTCCTTACAAGATCAGACCTATACTATGGTGTCAATAATAAGAGCTGAGCAACAACAAAAAGGAAGAAAAGAATGAAACCAGTTTCCATAGTCCATTTGCATGTCATGGCTGTTTCAACTAAACTACCAGTGGCTTTGACACATGATGGAGCATAAAAGGCGAGTTTTTGCTACACCTAAGCTGACTTGCCTATCAAGGTGACTAAGTACCCAGCAACTGCTGTACAAATTCCAAGCATTCCACCAGCAATGACCTGATAACACCAAAAGATAAAGCTCATGTACTGACCACAATCAAATCTCTTACTAGTCTTACATAGAAACCATATCTAAGTCTCATACTTCCTTACCTGAGGAGGAGTATGACCTAGAAGTTCACGCAAAGGTATGCTTTCAGCCAGAGGATGCTCTGCTGGAAGTTCATACACAATCTGATTCAGAACCTGTAAAATATGACGAAGCAGACCCAAATCAGTAAACAAGAACAGAGCTTTTTGAGTTCTGACAACTAAAGAAAACAAACAAATCAAACCTCAGCTTGGCGTCCAGCATGTAATCTTACACCAGTTGCATCATACATCACCTGCAACACACAACATGAATAAATTTAACAATCCCCTGAAGTAGTAGATGAAAGGTAAGCGAGTAAGCAAAAACATACAATGGCAGTGAGAACCAAAGCGATAGCAAAATGTGAACCACCAAAGCCTTCTTGTAAACCAACAGCTAAAGCTAAAGCTGTAACTGTTGCTGAATGTGAAGAAGGCATACCTCCAGACCCAACAAGCCTTTTCAAATCCCATCTCCTTTCCTTATACCTAAACAAACACTTACACCAGAGCTTTCAAAGATCAAATCATACTAGATGATCGAAACTCAACAATTTCAAGAAACATCATAACAAGATTCAAGAACATGACCTCTCACACCATCATGGATATGAAAACGTACCAGGAGGTGAAGAATTTGATGAACTGTGCGATGGTGAAAGCTAAGAGGGCAGAGATGAGAGGAAAATTCGTGAAAATTGAGATATAGTGAGACGAAGAGGAAGAAGATGATGAAGCCACCACCGATTCATCCATCATCAATGGTGATCGATGGATCTTGAAAATCTTGATCGTAGGGTTTCAATCACGCAGCAAGAAGAAGATGATACAGAGACGACATGAATCCATAAGGTTGCGTATAGAAAGATTTGCCTTGAGTCTCTCTCTCTCTTTCTCTTATGGCTTCTTCTTCTTCTTCTTCCTCAATTTTGCTTCCCTTAGATTTTTTAGCTTTTTCTTCGGCAACAAACAACAGACGATTATTTATTTTATTTCTTTTACTAGCAAGTCTACACGATTCTATGTACACTACAGATTAGGTATTTTAGTATTGTTCATATTTAATGACAAACACAGCTAATATCTGAACTCTGAAGTTGCATTTATCCGAAATTTTATATAAGTATTTATAAATTCTGATGATGTATCCAAAGGATATTTTAATACCCTATGTTAATATTGAATATGTATATTATTATTCACAAAACAAAATCATTATGTCGATCTGTATCTATGTATCCATCGAGCGATGATGATTGAGCGGAATATACTCCTCTGTTTCCAATGGAATATGCTTTTAGAGTTTAGGCTTTTAATTCAAGAATAACTTATTACACGTGGACATAAGTTTCTATAATTTAATTATTTATAAAAAAAAAGTGGAAAACAAAAATTCTTATGCTTTTCTATTTTTGAACTAACAAAAATTTACAAGCCAAAAAAAAAAAAAAAAAAAAACTAACAAAATTTATCTTTTTAACGTAAAGTGACTATCTTCCAAATCGCAAAACAAATAGCATTATTAAATGAAGATCAAGTTTGGTTGGAAGAAATTATACAATTTATAAATTAGTATGTAATATTCGTGTTTATCGCGTTTTGTTCTGTATGTATACAATCTTTTTCTGATTTAATTGATCAAACTTTTCTAATGTAATTGTTAACAAACAAAAATGGTGCAATTTAGTTTTATATATATGGTGGATGTATGATTCTAGGTCTAATATGCTTGTTTTTGGAAAAAAGAACTAATTGCATATTTACACTTAAACATAAACACGAAAAGTATAATTTTATAGATATATGGATGATAATTAGAAACTTTTTAACATCACACCACTTTAATCATGTTAGAGAAAGTAGACATGGAAGAACAAGACGTGATGCTGATAGGAGATCACGTTATAAGCAGATGATGAAAATTTACAAGAAGACATATATGAGGATATAGATGAGCATATCATATCGTTTGTCGGTTCTAATGTATTAGAAGATGGTTAAAACCGGTTATTGATAGTCTTAAACTGGTTTGGTAAATATAGCATATACGAAGGATGTTCTCAAAATCAGTAGTTCTATCTCTGCAACATACTTCTTGTGTCCAATGATAAGGACTTCAAAGGCACTGCTGAAGCTTTGATAGCAAGAGGTTTTAATGTTATGTCAAATGACTGAATCTTGGAATTAGCCATGGAGGGAGCATAAAGAGAAATGATATTCAAGAAGATTTCTATATAAAAACACATAGAAATCTTCTTGAATATCATTTCTCTTTATAATGGGTTTCAAAACTTATCCGCAAAGTAAGAATTCCATGTTAGTTGAGTTTGATATTTTTTTTGTATCTTCTCAAAAATATTTCGAAATAACATAGTTTAAAGATGCTAATCCTGCAACTTTCCGTTTGAAAAATATAATTGTTTGAAATTTGATCAATTTTAAGCCAACATCATTTATTCTATCACATAAGAAAAATATTATCAATTAATATGGATTTAGTTGAATACAAACATCTATGTCTTACCAAAAACATAATTTAGATTAATAACAAAATATAATTGTAAATATAGAAGAGCTTGAAAACAAGTTTGAAACTAACAAGTTATACATTTTATGGTTAAATCAAATTAGATTCATCTTACATGCAAAAACTTCCAAGATATGCCAGACACTTTTAATACATATGAGCTATTTATCTAGCTCATTCAGCTAAGAAAACACTGATTTAATTGAATCCTCAGCTTAAGAATCTCCTCACTCACCAGACATAGAGTGACAAAAGAAGAGCCTTCAACACGAATCTCGTTCTATCCAAATTGACGTTTTTTTGGTGCTAAAATAAGGTTACATAGCCATACATATATGTATGTAAAAATATAAAATATGATAATTTTTTACTGCACAATACTAAAATTGGACTAACATATATAGTAGTATTTTAACAAATGTCATTGTTTCTAATATTCTGTAAACCTTCCATCAATCTTGTGCAAGTATTTTCTATTTTCAGTGGTCAGTTTGCTTTACCAAATACTGTATATTTTGGCTAATTTTTACGATCAATTTCTTAAAATATATTGATATTTTGATGGCTATTATAATTTCATTTTGAATACAGTAGTATAATGTGATTTCTCAAATAGAGGTACATTACATTAAATTTTATTAACAATAACATAATTTTGGGTGTAAAAACTATATTGTTAACAGATGTTAATAAAATAGCGGTTCAACGAATTTACATGTAAAAAATTCGTGAACAAATCGTGGAATCATATTTTTCTCTTTCGTTTTTTTTTTACAACAGTAACAATTTTCATTTTTGTTGTGTAATTGTTTTTTTTATGTGGTAAATAACTAAATATTAAAGCAGCAACCGGAAAAAAAAAAAAAAAAAAAGGAAATCGCACCGTCCGGTCAATCAACTCGGTCTAGGGTTTAACCCAATCGTGCCCATTTCACAACCGCTAGTTCAAAATGTTGACGGCTCTCCGATCTCGTACCTCCTCTCTTCTTCGAGATCAATCATGGAAGCTAAGTTTATCTGATCCGAATCGCATCTTCACTTCCTCTCCCTTTTTCTCTTCAACCGCCGGGGCCTATGATGTCTCAGAGGTTCTCACGCTTCCCGAAGTGGAGAAGATACTCGCCGACGTCAAAGCTGATAACGTGACGGTGATTCCCACTCACAATCATTGCTTCTGGGCCGATAACATGGTCGTTGCTACAGGAAGATCTGATTGGCACTTAAGAAACATCGCTCAAGCATTAGTCTATAGGGTACACGATTTCCACCCTTCTTCTTATTTGATTCAATCCTCAATCAAACATTTGGGTGTAGCCATTTTTGTGATAATGGTGTTTTGGATTCGTTTTGAGTAATTGTTATTTTGGTACAGAAGAGTTGTCACTGGTTTTTTATATTCATTCTTTGGCTTTGTTTTACTCACAGACCAAGCAAAAGCAGAAAGGAGCCAAGCATATAATGCTGCCTTCTGTGCAAGGGTACAATAGCAAGTGGATTGTCATAGACTACGGTTCGTGTTCATGTGCCACTGCCTTTTGTATCTGCAAGTGTTGATTTTTATGTTTCTTTGGGATTGTGTTGGCTGTAATTTTTTTTTTCTCTGGATACGTGTAGGGAAGTTTGTAGTACATGCACTTGATGAGAAAGCCAGGGGTTATTTCAATTTAGAAAGCCTTTGGACTGCTGAAACATCTGCTACTGATTCTTCTGATCATCAGGTAAACATGTCACATTCTATTTGTGAACACCTTACATAAGTGGTTTACTACTAGTTTTGTGTGATCATGAATAAAATAGCTGAAAACTTTTAGCTTGGGTTTGTGTCTTTACATCATCTGGACACAGATGGTGGAGATGGTATTAGGAATTTAAATTTTTTATGCATCCTTGATGCTTAACATTGGTATGAGGATATGGGAAGGACTGTCTCTTTAGTAGTTTGATTGTATTAATTTGAACCTAGCTAGTTAGGGGTGAGATGAGAGAGAGAATGTCTATGGTTGATAAGAGCAGAACAGAGGCGATGCCATCAGAGAGAGAGAGAGAGAGAGAGAGAGAAAGAGAGAGTCTTTGATAAGACACAAGAGAGAAGAAGTTGAGGAATAGGGTTGTGTCAAGTGTTTCAGGTCCTCTTGATTTTATAATATCATAACTCCTTTTTCGTTTGTACTTACTTCTTCTCACCTTCTTCATTTTCCAATTTCAAATTCATGTTAGTTACTACATGCTTCTCTTGCAATTATAGAATCTATTTATCTTCTGATCTATAGAAGCTCTTTACAATGGGTTGCTAATTTTTTGTTTATCTGTTGACAAAACAATTGAGTAGTTTATGAAACTTAGGTTTAATGTCTTTATTGATTCCAGTGAAACCTTTTTTTTGTTGCAGGATCTCCAAAACGCTTTTGTAAAGGTCCGACCAAAGAACAATTCGAAAAGAAAACCGGCTAAAGTGAGTTTGTGATCCTGTCCGATGGACGACATACAATATATCATAAACTAACTTCTCGAGTCTATCGGGTGTGAAATCCTAAACGGGTCAAGAATACGATTTTAAACCTATTATGAATTTTTTTACTGTTTTTTTTTAGTCATCTATCTATTTTTTTTCCTTTTATAATATGGAAAAAAGGAACAATTTGTCTCTCCTAAGTCCTAATCAAAAAAGGAAAACGAATTGAGCTCTCTGTATATATATATATAGCAATAAAACGGAGTTGGCCAAAATTATAAACGGTACTCTTAAATCTCAACAACATGGTATCATCTTCTCGTTCCTCCTCTGGCAAAACAAGAATTCGCCTCGATTCTTTACCTGATGATCTTCTTGTAGAGATTTCATCAAATATCGCTGCTTCTTCCTTGTCAGGGGTTCGTAATCTCAGATTAGTTTCGAAACCGTTTCGACATGTCTGCGATAATCGATATGTTATCGGCAGACTTTCGCTCCAAGAAACCCCGTTATTCCCATGGCATCACAACCGTAGGAGGTTCTACAATTTTTTCAAAAGGTGTTGCAAGAATGGAAACCCTGAAGCTTTGTATCGGACGGGATTCATCTACTACTTTCTAGATAATCGTAAACGCAGAGGACTCAAATATTTAGCTGAAGCTGCAGAAAAAGGGTCCAAAGAGGCAAAATATGTCTATGGGATGATTCTAATCTGTCGTAAAGGCAAAACAAAGCAAAAGGGTTTCAAGATCTTGTCTTCTTTTATAAAGCCGTTGATGTCAACTACCATAGAGGAGCTTGTGGATCTTCGATACAAGATTAGACAGTTTAGAGACATCGTTTGGGATCACGCCAACCCGGTGATGGAAGTACTCAAAACAGCTTACGTCCGAGAAGAGTGCGGGTGCGATGGTAAAACCATGGCGTTCTTAACAAGGAACCGTGGTTGGCACACACATGGTGAGGACGATCTCATGAACACTTCTTCTGCTTGCGAGTTTTGTCTGTGGCATCACGAGGTTGAGCTTTTCTGTAAGAAAATTTAGTGACCAGTAGTGTACTAAATTAATTACTATTAATTAATAAAGAGTGGTTTTGGTTTTACTTTATATGCGTCTTGGATACATTCATACGTAGGAGAGTACTGGCCATTTCTCTAATGGCATGAACCTAATACGAATAAATAAATCTTTCGTAAAACAAAGCTTCCTCTTCTGGATATAAATCTCTTATAATCTCATTCACTACTCTCTGATTGTTTCCACCCTACAAGTGTCAGAATGCCGACTAAACCTAAAAGTTCTCACAACAGCTCCTTTTGGCATCTCCTTTGAATTTCTAATTTGTGAATCTTGATGAGGCGAAATTTACTATACATCTGAACTTTCAAGACTACATTGCAAATAATGGTAGCAAGGAAAGTCTGTAGAATCAAAGGCTTCTCTTATATATGAAAAATTAGCAGAGTTGGCCAAAACATTGCAGGTCTGCTTTAAATAGAGATGATGGAAGCGTGCATCGATTCCGGACAGCCCTTGTAGGTAAGCTCAACAAAAGTCCCTGCCCCTTCTCCTTTCGCAAGTCTTCCCGGGTTTACACAAACACACTTAGCTGCATCTTCCCCTTCCCCAAGGGATAAAACCTTCACAATCAGGAAACTATTTAGTGATTCTTCTTTAGCTTCTAGCTTATGCATTTGATGCCACTATTACCATACTAACTCACCTTCACAAAGTACCTCATGTCTGATGGAAGCAGGAGAATATCTGGGATTTCTAAAATCTCTAGCGCCTTAGGAGCAAGTGAGGAATCATAAGGGAGGCTGTCTGGCGGTGGATACAGAGGATAGAAGCTGTTTCATAAGAATCCAATTTTTTAAGTATTCTTTAGCTGAGAAAATACTTGGATCTAGTAAATGTAAAAGTTACCTTCTCTGACGGAGGAGATGGCTAGCAAGTCTGGCCATGCGATCAGTGGGGACTCCACTTGGATTTCTTGACATCTCCTCCCCACTTAGCTGCTTTAGTACATCCACCGTGCAGCAGCCTACCTTCACCTGAGAATCCCCAATTAATGTCTGTTGTAAGGACTGGAGAGAATATGGCTTCGCAGAAGAGAATTGTCACAGTGATTTTATTTATTACCTGGTTTGCCTCAAAGGTCCCCGGGTTTGAAAGGCTGGTCATCTGTATGTATGACAGAAGAAAGAGAAGAGAATATAGTAAATTTATCCACCTGTTCACAGAGAGTTGAGTGATGAAATGGACACTTGTTAAGGAGAAGAATCAGGTACCTGATGTTCGAGATCAGGTATGTGAATATCAAAAGGAGCCTGCAAATGCAAGGGGGAACTTTTCATATCAAAATAGAGAAGATAGATACTTAAAAGCGGGAAGAGAGATTTTGAAAGACAAAGAAAAGAGCACCTGTGGGAATATGAAATCATGGTTGGCATCACGAATGGATGGGACCAAAACCACTCTTACTTCTGAACCCATGAATTCCACATAGTCTTGCAACTGAGAAACTCAAAAATATTAACATCTTTGTCTATTCCAAAGTCACTCAGTGTTCAGTATAACTACTGTCCTATTTTCAGTACCTTCCTGAGGACTTCGACTTGGAATATCTCATTAAAGGTGGCATCAACAGCTCCTTTCTTAATATCTGGATGCTCAGAATCCACAAATGGTCCAAGCTGCGTTTCCAAACAAAAAAGTAAGCGACCACAAGGCACAATCATGCACGAGACGAGACATTTAGTCAATAAAAGGTCAGAATGCATTCTAGTTACTAACCAGTACGAGTAATTGTGGTGGCTTTCTTCTTGCATAGGCTAGTAGCTCATTCAGTGGCTCAAACAGCAAGTTGTCTGATGTGGTGAATGGTCCGGATGCAATTATCTATCAACATAAATACCTTTAAGCATCCATTTAAATCCCAAACTAGAAAATGATGCTACATGATTCAAAACAAATCACGCTCGTGCTTGAAAATGGCAACTTAACATATGTGCATGAAAACAGAACAAATATATATACATACATACATACTAATTTTTATCTGGCAATATCGGAACTAAAGGAGCTCCAGTCTTTTAAGTTACCATCCTACCTAAGAAAGATAGCTTTGTGTCTCTACAATTTTCAATGTTCTGAAGTTACCTAATCTTAGCATTTAGATTATGTGTGTACATGTCAGAATATATGTAGAAAGAATGCGCCAGAATCAATAAAAATGAAAATAATTATTGCATACTTACAAATGAAACCTCTGATTTTTCACAGGATTCTTCTGCAGGAGCTAAGACGTCCGGATCCAAGTTTTGCCTCTTAGCAGGAGGTAGATCGACGTCAACAGCACGTGTTAAAGGAACTAAATCTACCAGCTTAGATGCAGTGAGATAATGTCCACTAGGATTTTGTCCCTCAATGCCAACTATCTGCATCAGATCACATCCACATGAATGTTATATTATGGAAGACACACAAAATCTAAAGTTGTTAGCTTTAAGATATTACCTGTCCAGGAAAAATGGAGAACTGATCTAGCCTGTTTAAGTCCAGTGGAACACGCTGTCCGGAAGTACGCTCCGCACTGCAATCATAAATATATTGGCATTAGGATAGAGAATTTTGAATTAAGGCTTCATGTTTGAGAGACAGTTATGCCAGTAATCAAGTATAATTAACCTGCTCTGCAATAAAATGGACTTGTCATTCAAATGCCCCTCTCCATCACAACAAATCATTCCCACAGCAAATATACTTCTCTGAAGCAATCAGTAGCACAATGTAAGCAGCTCTATACCCCAATGTTAACTTATTTAACATCAAAGTAGTGTGTACGAGAAAAGCTACCTGTGAAGCAACAGCAGGATCAACCTGTTCCTCATATAACCCCGAGGCAGCAAATGCATCTGCATGCCTTATGATCCGATTCTCTAGTGCATTAAACCTGTCCTCAGTTCTGTCATACATGAACCTGCAACCTGGTTCAGGGCCTGATCCATTGACTTTTAGAGAACACCGCTGGCTGGTTTGAACTCTCTTAATAATATCATCCTCGTTATTCTCTACATCATTGTTGTTTCCATTCTCTGCATGAGCCGCTACATTACCTATGTTGAGCTTCACCACAAACTTTTCGATTCGTCGCCCAAAAGGTGTCACATGTCCAACTGACTTCCCAGTAGAGTAACCGTAATCTTTTGATCTACTTATCGAATCAAACGGATCTGGATGTAACCGTTGAGACTTATTTGTAGGGGTAGTTACAATCTCTCCCGTATCTTCATGCACCTTGTCCAAAAGCCTAGATCAAAAAACAAATTTACATATCTTCAAAAACAAATCTGGTAAAATTTGATACAAGTAAGAAGAAACCTGGCAAAAGCACTTACATATCTATATCTCTATTTGAGTAAAGATGCAGACCAGATGCTTCTTCTCTCATAATAGATTCTTTCTGTTCGTTCTGAAGATGCAATACAAACCCATCCATCTCATCCTTCTTAACAGTTTGATCAAGAAGTTGTCTGTTGCATCCAACCCAAACACAAAGGAAAACAAATCTCAATTCTCTAGTTCATCAATAACATCACCAGGAAAAGGTATACATATGCCTTAGAATCACTAACACAACCACTCTCAAACATGAACTCACTATTTCATTACAAGTTGTTAAACTACACATACACTTACAAACTCAATAGAATCTCTATGGGCATACAAAGAATTGAATTTTACTATGAATTTGGAGAAATTGGGCAGATGGCAAATTAAATGAAGAGAAAGGGGAGAAAACAAAATGTGATTTTTTTACCGATTGAGATGATAAAGTTCCCAACTTGAAACGAGATCAGAAGGCTTCAGACTGTAATTTATACAGAGAGTGACACCTGATAAACCAAATATGTCAGAAAAGAAAAACAAAAGTCTCAAGATCTGGGCAGAGAGAAAATTAGGGATTGGTGTCGAGTACATTTTTGAAGAATCTCGTCTTCTTCCACAAGAGTAAAGCCGCTTCTTTTGAATTCATTCTTAATCTCCTCATCTGTAGCCATCGCTCTTTCAACTTCACTCTCTGCGTTTCCTAGAGAGAGAGAAAGAGAGAAGCTTTTGTTGTGGCGAGTGGAGAAGACGAAGGAAAGTGGCGGGAAAATTACTGATTTAGGGCGGAACCGCGGGAGGATGCTTATATTTACTGGACCCGAAGTTTTTAATGGGCCTTGATTTTAAAATGATCTTGGATTATTTATTTTAGCTTCCTAGGTTATAATATTTGATAATATTTTGTATTGGTAAAATAATAATATTTACTGTGTAATTAAGCAATTATATATTCATGTATTTGTATTTTTAGGTGCATAGGAAAATTCAATGTATTTTTATTTTTAGTGAAATTATGAAGAAAAATAATTGATAAGCGGACTTCTTATATGATTGCATTAGAAAACGTCATTAAACAAATTGATAACAAAGTAGTATCAATATGGTGGAATTAGATGTTAGAAGGCCGGATAAAAAAAAAAAGAGACATGATCCTTCGCTAACATATGTCTCTTGAATCAATGATATTTTCTAATACTACAAAAAAAAAATAAGTGTATATCGTATACTAGAGATGGACCCGCACGTACGTGCGGGATTGGTTGCAAAAACTATGTTTATCATAAAGTTTCTAATATTTTAATCGACATGATATAAGACTCGGATCGAGTGTGAACTGAATGACTGATAAATTAGAAATCAATTAAATTTGTGAACTATCACATCACATAAACTAATGAAAAACATTAAAATTTTTGAATAAAATAACATAAATATAGATATCAGAACAGTCAAACCCGTTCACTATGCATGTCCTACAACAAATTGAAATATTTTGGTCCACCCACATGAATAAATAGTATGTCTTCAGCTTGCCCGTTACCCATAATTCCCTTTTGTATATTATTAGAATTAGTTAAGATAATAATTTTTTATTTTCTAAATTACCCGTTCCCTTTCCGTTATTTCTTGTCCCAATATTTGAAATTTTTAAG